CTGCACAATGCACCCGCTGCAGTGTACCCCCTGCAACCCACTGCACAATGCACCTGCTGCAGTGCACCCCCATGCACCTCCCTGTGCAATACACGTCCTGCAGTGTACCCCATGTGCAAGGGACCCCTGCAGTGCACCACTGCAAAGCAGCTCCTGCACTCCTGAGCAATGCATCCCCTACAATGCATCCCCTACAATGAATCCCCTGCACAATGCACCCCCTGCTCAATGTACCCCCTGCAATCCCGCACAATGACTCCCTTGTAATGCACTCCTCACATCTCCCTCTGCAGCACACCCCTTACAATGCTGCACAACGTGTTGTCTGCACCGTGGAGCCCACCCTGCACCAGGCCCCTCTCCCTCTCTGTACCTCGCCTTCCCACCACACCTCCAGTGCACGTAGGGTTGCTCACCCTGCTCTGCACCAAACCTCCCCCTGCAAACAACGCACAGTCCTGCAAACCAAATGCACCCCTGTGCACACTGCGCTACAGCGCACACACCGTCACACAGAACCGTGCATGCACCCCTGTGCATGCACCCCTGTGCATGCTGCACTGCAGTGCACACACATGCAGGGCCCTTGTGCATGCACACCTTGCATGCGTCCGCTTGTGGAGGCTACTCGTGCACCCTCTTGCACACATGTATGTGCCTTCCCTGCACATACACGCACAGAGCTGCGCATTTACCACTGCTCGCCAACCCTGTGCACAGGAACACGGCACTTTATGCACTGCATGTTGTACACCTGCACACTCGTGCACGCTGCAAGCCCTCCATATGTTCCCTTGTATGCGCCCCCACCGCCACGAGCCCCGTGCACCCCGGTGCACACACACGGATTTTTTGCACACTCTTGCTCTCAATGCACAAGCGCACTTGCCGCGCACTCCTCGAAGCGCGCCCGCAGCCGCTCTGTGCAGAGGTGTCCTGCGTGCCCGCACATTAGCACCCGTCTATGTGCACCCATCCATGGCCACCTGCACCCGCCCTGCACAGGCCGCCCCCCTGCTCGGCAAGGCAGCGTGCGGGGAGCTGCGGGCGGGAGTGCAGCTGGCGCCGGCGTCCACCCACGCTCTGCGCTGCCCGCCCCGCGCCTCGCGGCTCCCCCCGACGCGCTCACTGCACCATGCAGCACATGGGCGCGCTGCACGGCAACCCTCCCTCCACTGCCACCCCCCAGGCTGCCCCGGTTCCCGAATCTGCACGTGCAGCGGGCGCCGCATCCCGTGCAGGGGACGGGTTGCAGCGCAAGGCCGAGGGCTCTGTGCTGCCCGTGTGCCAGGGCCGAGGCCGCCCTGGCTCTGCATCCACCACCCCTGAGTGCCAAGGGTGCTGGGGAGGGAAAGGCAGGGGGGAAAGTTGGAGGAAGCGGAGCGGGGCGGGATGGTGCTCGCCCCGGCCCCGCAGCTGCGGCACCGGTCGCGTTGGAGGCGGTGGCGGCAGCTAAATTTAGCTGCAGACAAAAGCTGCGGTGCCCGGGGGGTGGCCCAGGGTGGCGACAGCAAGAGCGGCGAGTGAGCGGAATAGCAATAACCGCCGCAGCGGGACCCCGCGGGACCCCGCGGCTCGGCGGGAGCGGGGACCGGGGGCGGCGGGGCCCCCTCGCGCGCCGCCCCGTCCCGCGGCGCGGGCGGCGCGGGGGGGTGCGGGCCGGGGATGCCCTGGGATGCGGGGGAGTGGCGGGGAAGCGGAGCGGGGGGTGCCGGGCATTCCCGCGCCCCCGCAGCGGATGCGCCGGGAATGACTCTCCGCGGCTAAAAATAACATCCCCCC